GGTAACTAAGAGGTCAAAATTTAAGAACATTTATTTTGTAATTTATAGCAATTTATACAGGTAGGGTACAGAAAGAGATGAGGGTTCATGTTTAGTGTCTTTAGCTTCTATTCAAACCTGGTGCCCTGGTGATAGGTTTAGTAACTGGCTTTTCATGAAGAAATTCCACACTAAAAGAATCTGACAAAAATGATTACAAATAAACAGTTAAAAAGCCTTTACCAAAGTGATAACCATCTTTTATCTGTGAGTGTACATAATCATTAGACACAAGTGAGCTACATAAATGTATGCCTTGTGCCTTAAATGGTACAAGAAATAAAATTTTCTAGATCCCTTATGCTACTTATTGTGTTGTCTACATGTAAACCTGTCTTGCAAGTGTTGTTTAGGTGGAGGAAAATTATTTTAGATACAGTACCTTACATCAGAATTTATTTTTCAGTGACATATTCTTTTCAGAGAATTAATTTCTTTTCTTTCATTGCAAAACTGAGAAATGATTTTTAACTATTGCAAAAGTATATATATTTGGACTATCTTGAATGCATAGCTAGCACATTATTATCAATTTCATGATGATTCACCATCAACTCTGGAACATTCTATCCTGCCAAGAAGAAGTGAACTTCTATGAAAGGTTAGTGTTTTATAAAAACATTCACAGGTTATGTCAAGTTTAAACTGTTAATTGTTTTTAAATATTAAATATTACTAAGGTATTATCAATTTGCATGTTTACATGTTACAGTATATGTAAATTTTTTTTTCAACCATATCAATTGCTGTCTATATCCCTGCACAAGTAAGATGTCATTGTAATGCTAGCTAATTTTATGGTAGGCAAATACCATACCTAAATAATCATTAAAAACGAGTAAAGGCAATGTTCCTCTAAAATTTTACATAAGAATCCGATTGCATGCTGTGATTTAAATGGCTGGTAAACTTTGCAAAAGAATAATATCTTGAACCCATGCTAAATCTACATATTTAAAAATACCTTGTATAAATATAGGGGGTTTTTGGAAATAAACAGGCCTGCTGACATCAACCATCAGCAAATAGAAAAAGGTGCCAAGAGTTGTTAATAATGCCTGTTGATGAGTGATGTGTTTACATTGCACCTTGAAGAAGTGACTTTGTTGTTTATAGCTTAGATCTATAATTCATATGTTATTAAATAATTAATTGCAAAACAGGGTGTTAACCTAAAAGAAACCCTACTACATATTCCCTGTAATTCCAAGTTCTGCAAACAAATTTGACAAATTTCAATTTGGATGAAGAATAACTTCAGTAGATGGTTTTACTAGTAGTCATGTCTACAGGCCAAGTATATTCTATTATCACACAGAAAACGTATCTTTGACACTCAAAAAGCACAGCGGATTAAAGGGGAAAATGTCGAGAAAAATTGTTACAACGTTTTAATATTACCCTATTAGAGGCAACTCAATGGTACAAAATAGCATCATAATTGCGTAAGTGTCAGGTTCATTTCCGCATAAAATTCATAACATTGGTTCGAAACAAGCAACCTACTCAATGGCACGTTTGGACTCAAAATATTCGCCATTAAATCAAACTAAAACACTGCTCCTCTTACTTGAGTATTTGGTTGTTCATAGTTTAGTTTTCTCATCATTTAAAATGTTCCAGAAGCTATTTGTTTATTTTATTTTCACTTGAAGCCGTTTAGTGCATATAAATTACAATCGTTTGCCTTTAATTTATTCGAGTCCATCCTCTGACTAATTCTCTGCGGAAGAGGCAGTAGGTTTATTTTATGTTATATTTTTAATCGCTACAATAATTTTAAATCTTAACAGTACTGTAGGCATTTTTGGGTACTCAATAAGTAGGAAGGATTTATACGGGCATTCACGCATGCATTGTACAACTATATTATTAAAATTGCTGGTACCTGTTTTGTCCCGGGCTGCCAAGTCCTTTCCATCCTTAAGCTCTACTTCAAGAGCAAAGAATGAACATTTCCCCGCCCTGGCTACATCGCCAGCCTGGAAAAAAAAAAAAACCATAGACATTACAGATTCGTACAACTGCTTATAGAATGAAAACCCTCGAAAGCGGAATGCCAAAGGGGAAATGGGCGCTCGACAATAATAAAAACAAAAACAATAGGACTCTGAGAGCGATTTAAATGCGAAAGTCAGATAAACGGTGGTTCACTCTTTTAAAGGGAATCTGACAACTACAAAATGTTTAAAGATGACATACCAGAGCGCCCGGGGTTACATCCTGAGCGGGACATTCCGTTAAACCTCCAGCCTCCGTTGGTGAAGGCAGGGGTGCAGCCCCGTCTTCTTCGGCACCTTTAGCTGATTGAGAAACATTAAATGGATCATTAGATTTAGTAGCAGTGCCATTCACTTGACACTTCATATCAACGTAAGACTGAGGAAGTTGCGGCATGGATCTCGATTTGGCGTTTTTCCTACCACGTCCTCCTTTAGACTTCGAACGCTTGAGGCTCGAGAAGAGTCCTTTCTTCTTGCCTGTGTTTGTATCTAGGAGCGGAGAATTACAAGCGAGACACAGCCATATTAAGTAAAAATAAAATCGTCTTCACAAAAGACAGGGATTACAGTAATCGCACAACCAAAAGGAAGAGTAATCAAGCTAAAAACCTCTAAGGTCTTCATCCGACATCTTTGCTTCGCGCTAACTCACAGCAACTAAAGCATGCGCAAAATAATCTGCGCAATAACAAAGCGTCCGCGCTCCGCGTTGGCGGGTTATCACGCGAGTTTGTTTACATTCTTGACAGAAACAACTAGCTGTTACTTTTCTCCGCTAAAAACGGCCTTTTGTCCAATAAGTACAGTTCTTACTAATTAGAAACATTTTCCATGGTTATTTTTAATTCAAACTGTTCGCTCACAACGATAAACAAAACCGATGAATAATTCTTTTCTTCGAAATTTTCGCGTCCCGTTTGCAAAAGGCAGGAGGTTGAAAGTTTAGTTGTCATTAAATTTTAATACATCCAACTGAGAGTTTTGTCATTCCTGCCAAATGTAAAACGCATCAAAAGATGTCCTCGCATGAGTTTGTCTCATTTAGCGTCTTTTCCGAACCGCGATTGATTCTAAATAACCGCGGCTTAAAGGGTCTTGAAGGTTGCGTAATTGTTTAATCCACAACATTCTCAGAAAAATACTTTGCCCGCGTGACAACCCTGGAATGTATTCCTACATTTTAGACGGCAATGTGTGGGTATTTTAAGTTAGAACCGAGTCATGGAAGAGAACCAAACTTATTTCAAAGAGGGGAAATCGTGTTGACACTAATCTAGTATTCTCCCCCTACTGAATGCTGCCATCACGCTAATCAGAAGATTTTTTTTTACCTGTTTAAACAAGAAAGCAACCACGGTAACTGGCATCCCAAACAAATTGGCTCCTTCAGATCGAAATATTTGTACTTGCTGTCTTACATATTCGAACATTTCTCTCAATGTTATCGTGCTTACACTGAAAAAAAGTTCTCACAATTGTGCAATTTTCGTTGTTTACCATTGCAGCTGGCAATTTTTCGAACAGAGGCAACGAAATGTTTCTCAAATCATTTATTATCAGCGACTGAGTTTACTTTAAGGCCTTTCGACTTCCTGTGCTTTGAAATTATGAAAAGATCTGCAGTAATTATAATCCATAGGGCTGCAGTCATCGAATATTGGCGAGAAACACCAAAAGGATTCATCGTCTAAATATACAAATAATGGGAGGATTGAAATTCTCCTCTTTACATATACATTATATGACAATTTTTCAAGGATTCGACTAACTAGTCCTTGGATGAAAATTTGAGTAATTAACATAATAATGAGCTAAAAACAAACAATTATTGCAAGTCATAAAGAGGGCGCTTGTGTGGTCTGATGCTGTGCTTGTAAAAGTTGTAAAAAAGCTGCAAAAGTAATTATCAACTACAAAGTTAGGACTGACACGCTGAAACTGATGAATTTATCAATCATTGTTGGAGCTGTGTATACAATTGTACAAAACACAGGGAAGTGTGTCTTGTACTTTCCATTACTTTTCCTTCTAATCCACTTTTGGCTCAGCTTATTTGCCAAGATTTTTTTTTCCTTTATTGACTTGTACTTTTCGTTACTTTTCCTTCTAGCTCCTTCTAGCCCGCTTTGATTTAGCTTATTTGCCAGGATTTTTTTTCCTCTATCGACTGTTTCTCGACGAATTTACATCAAATTTATTTATAAAACTTAGAGAACAGACTTCGAAGTGTTCCACTGTCTAAGTCCTCAATTATGATCACCAATGCACATCTGACTGACCCTTAAAGGGATCTGGGACAAATAAAATATCATGTTAAAAAGATATGTAAATAGGTTCTCGGTACAACCACAAAAATAAAGAAAATGCTTGTAGTTCTATCCGCAATACAAAGAAGTTTAACTTCTTCTGACTATGTTCGGTTTCAAGAGTTCTTCCAACTTGTCTATAAATCACTGAGCCGCTTTCTGTTAATTTTCAGATTGATACAAATTATGTCTGAATTCAAACAGTGGCTTTCTCAGTCAAATGAAAGTCTTTCCCTTCGAGCACTTTCCATTTTTGTTGAGTGTGTGTTTAGCATTGTACCTCGTACTTTTCTGCCATCTGGAGATGATAGACAGGAACAGAGATATGACATTTTAATCGCAGAGCGATGTTTTATTGGGCGATTGATGTAATGAGGAAAGAGAAAAGGCAGCGTAGGAATAGTACAGCGGCCCTATCTCCCGTTCTGTAGAGTCTATCCAGCATTTCCTTCATGTGCGTGCTTATCCAGAGATTGGTGTGGAACTGAATCGCCGGAGTAATCAGGTTAGGACCTCGTCAAGTCAGCGGCTTACAGCACCCGATCTAAAAAAAGAGCTACGTTTTAAATATGCGTCCCAACCAAACGCGTCTGTTTACAGAAAAGGTATGTATAGTTAATGAGAAAGGGGAATTAAATATGTATGATTAAATATGGGAATGGAGAAGGCACACGAAATCTTTTTTTCATCAACATCTGTAACTAGTATGTATCGTTTTATGCAAAAAACTGTGTTAATTTGTATTATCCTCACCGGTGTGCTAGAGGTGGCAGAGACAGGTTTCAATGCTGTTTACATGAAGCAGACCGAAGCAAACTTTACTTGTGGAAATCCTCCCGAAAACTTCTTTGAAACCCAGCAAGGATTTCTGAGTGCTGAGGACAGAACACCGCTCACATGTAATTCAAGCAACCCACCAAATGCATATCCTCCACAAAACATGGTCGATGGTTCTTTAGCGACTCATTGGCAATCAAAAGGTGGAGACGACCTGGCAATAATTACAATAAATTTTGAACAGGTATTGTAAATAGTTTTGAGCGTAAATAAGCTAAACAGAAAAATTTACATAATTTGTAACTGCAGGGTTCTTAAAAGCAAAAGTCCAGCTCCGTAAGGAATGGTTTAAGACAGCTCAGTTGAAGAACAAGAGTTTTAGTTTCTTGCTGATAATGAAGGAACGTTGAAATTTTTCAAGTGATAAGCTCACTGATATTATATGCATGGTGGCGTCGAACGCTCAACCATGTTTTAGAGAGTTTAAGCACGAAAGGAATTCACATAAAAACTGTTTCCAACCTAGTTCTCATTGGCCATCATTGTTAACAAATTAGGAAGGCTTTATTTTTTATTTCACATCTTCGAATATTTTAAAGCGAAAGGCTAACGCTCGAAAAGGCGCCAGCTTTGAAACTCTCCATCTCTCCGTGCGGTGGCCAATTTACAATATCAATTCAGTTGATAAAACCAAATTATTATATGGCTGTGTCTTACAAGGACTGGGAACTACCGAATTCACGGATTTGATTGGCTGAAATCAGTATTGAAAGCGGTCTAGATTTTCCCATCTAGACCGGCATCTAGACCGGTATCGACGAACCCTGCATGCTGTCCCATTTTAATTTTAACTGATTCACAGTTATTTTCAAGTTAGAAGGGTTACTTCAAAGTGAAGTAACTTCCATTTTGTTCCACTGCAGGCGCTCTTTGTTCAGAATATGAACATCACATTTGGAAACTATCGAAGGCCAGGAGCTATGAAGGTGGAAAAGTCGACAGATTTTGGCATCACTTTTACTCCGTGGCACTACCTGGTAACCTCTCCTGCAGCCCGTCAATGCAGTACACAGTTTGGTGTTGCTGCCTTCCAGGGAGTTATATCCCGTGTGGATCAAGTGTTATGTACAGAGTACGACCGTTATTTTCCACCAGAATATAATGAAACTGTGAGTAAACCACAGAATCCCCACTCCTCCCCCCTCGATATATAACTGGGTGCACTGTTTACCTTCCTAGCTGCCTTCAGGGCCGTAGCCAGACTTCAGAACAAGACGAGGCAAGTTTCGGGTCTGGCATGCCTCCCCCAGAAAATTTTGAAATCTAGAGGCTCAGAAATGCTCTTTCAAGCATTTTCCGTGGCACTTTTCTTTAGAAAAGTCCACCTTGGGCAAGTGTGGAAGTTCACTTTTTTATTGCCGAGCGATACTGGTGCAAAAAAAAAA